GGGGGGGGGTCATTTTGACGAACCGCGCTTCTAAGGCTTCAGTACTCTCACACATAGGGATCTCATCAGGTAAGTCCGTCTGCAGACAAGTCCGGACTTACCTGACAAGATTTTGAGGTTGTTGTAATGGAAAGAAAAAGGACTTAGGTATTTGTAGGGTGGACTTATGTGGCCTTTTCTTGCTCAGAAAGCGGACTAATCTGTAAGTCAGGCAGTTTTGTGACAAAATGGTTTCGGTGTTCAAGAAGTGACAGTAAATGAAATCCCAACTGCTCGTAAAGAAATAAGAGTCACCAAGTGTTGCACTGGTCTCCTTCGATCTTGTGCGAGTGTGCATATTGATTTAGTCTGCACTGTCCCATTTCGACTATCCAAATTGAACTGTTCAAGCCTTGCTTTCAAACACTAAATCATGTTGTAAGCCGTAAATGTCTATCAAATTTTTTAGATAGCTCTAGGACCAGAAACAGAGTTGGACAGTGAGATCAAAGAAGCCGAAAAAATTCTAAATGCATTCCTCAGCTATGGTCTACATGGCCGAGAAGTGGCCCTCAGAACTATGATGTCTTACAAGTTAGATTTAACAAGAATTACACTTTTATAAGTACAAAAACAGTTATATTCATGGTAACGATTGTACTGAGATTCCTCCTTAGGCAACTCTCACCTGAACACAAAAGCATCATATTGAAATCACACAATGACCATATGCGGAAGGTGCTCGAATGTGTAGATCACAATCAGGAGTGAGCGCTTAGCTTTTTCATGGTCAAATCACCGAAGCCCTTTCAGTTAATTTTAGAGTTCTTCAAAAAGTTGTGATGTATGGCATGAACGTGTTCGGCGAAGAATTCGCTGAGAAAACATGGAAAATAAGGCAGAAAAGGTGATATAAGTTTCAAATAGGTTTTTCTGCCCCTTTCACTGTTTCTGAACTGATTTTTCTGCTCAGGCGTCCTGATCCACACTACATGGGAAAAGTGTTGAGTACTTTGCGCCAGATCGTGAGAGAGTGGAGTCTCGAAGGTAGGCTTCTTGTAGCTAGTTTACAGAATTCTGCAGTTCTAAGTTCCTTCTGTGATTGGATCTCAATATGTCTCCTCATGCTGAATGTTGCGCTTAGGTAAATCTGAACGTGACGCCACGTTTATGCCTCTTGTGGAGGTGTTACGGAAAAAATATCCTGACCGGAACATGAGAGAAGCAGTGAAAATAATGGTGCCCGGCTCTGGGCTTGGTGAGTCGATTTTTTTTCACAAAAGAGAGCTCAGATGGCTTGACTTCAGGTAGACTGGCCTTTGACCTAGCAGAGGAAGGATTTACCGTGGAAGGCAACGAGTATAGTATGATCATGTTGATGACATCATCATTTTTGTTGAACGGCTGCCTGAAGGTAAACT